CGCGCCCGGGCCTCCCGCCCGCGCAGTGCGCTCGCGAGCCTCCGCGCGACAGGTCGCCCTTTCGTGCCCACGCCAGCTCCGGAGCACCGCCCATCAGCTCAGGTAAGGGTGTGGAAGGCCTCATCCAGCTTCTTTTGGAGGTGAGGGGAGAGATCGCATTAATGAAGCGCAATGACAAATATTAATTTGCGTATCGGACAATGTCCTTTCACTATTGTTTTTTCGCACATTTAAATGTTGATGATTCATTACAAGTGATTCCGGGCGCGACAACTGCCAAGGTCATTATTTCCGTAAGTGTAGTGCATGTTTTTTTGCTCGGGAGATAGTGAGATCTGGCGCCGACTTATCGACAGCTAGGGTTTTTTTCTCCAACCAGGAATCTCCCACCAGCGGAGCACCGACCCAGTCTGAGAAAGCTCTAAGCTCTCGTCCGGTCTCCCGGCATGTGAGGTAGTGTAGTGCATGTAAGTGTACGAGTGTGTAAGTAACGGGTAGGATAGAACAAAGAATGGGAAGGAAAGATAGCGCGGGATCGGTGGCCTGTTTGATAAGGTACTGCTCCGGCATTCGCCTGGTATTGATCGTAGAAACCACAGAAAACTATCTATCAGAGTTGCCGACCGCTAGAATTCTCCTCCAAGCAGCGACGCCACAACTCGACCTAGCTCTCTGGCCAGTGTCGAAAATCCTGCCACCCGATCCCCAGGACCTCCCAGTCAGTGGCACTGCAGTGACATCAGTTGACGCCATGAACCATCTCTCTCGGTCACAACATTTAACTATTCCGCATTCGACATACTTGCACAGCTACACGAAATCGAGTGCTTGAAAATATTTTTAATTTTTTGAAGTCTTGACATGAGAATTTCGGGGGTGGGGTGGGGGGTGAAGATGTTGAACTTTGTGACCGCCCTGACCCTCCCCAGAGCTTTCCTGAACTCGTTCTGGAACTCGTGACGCCCACCTTTTCAGGTCCCTAAGTGATAATTGAGTCTACGAACATGATCTGCAGCTGTCATCATCACTGGTTACCACACGAAAGGTGGCAGTGCCGATAAGACACAAGCAATGCTAAATATTTTTGAATTGTCTTGTTACACGTGGGTCAGCGTTCGTCTTCTGAGACCATGTTCGAATCTCGAGCGATTAATTGCCATTGGTAGTGATGGTAGAATTTAGCATTTTAATTTTTTTTTAAAAATCGCATTTTCAAAATAAGGTACATTTAATAGCATTATCAAAATTAAGATTTAGCATTTTGTAGTATTTGTTGAGAAACTTATTATTAAGGGAGGACTAAAAGAAAAATATACTTCTCAGATTTTCTCACTAAAATCAGGAAATAAGAGAAAGTTATTAAATATTTGTTCTTTTCTGAACTTCAATAAATGAAGCATCGGCTAGAACAACGTTGTAAACGACATATTCTAAATTTTACAGGAGAGGACAAAATGGATTACCTCTTTGGCTTTTATTGTTGTCAGCGCTAAATGCTATTCTGACACTTGTAGGTGTTTTAGGAAATGTGTTTTAGAAAGGAAAATTCTCTAGGAAGTATATTTTACGACTTACAAAAGAACGTAATTTTGTTCCAACATTACATATCCAAAACACATACAACGTTGTTTTTCTTATATAGTACTTTTGGAAATTAAAAATTCCCTTTTCTGATTGTGATTCAGATGTGCAGATAAGCATTCCTTGTTTATCTTGTGGCGGGAATAGCTCTCCTACTTGGGAAATTATGCAATATGCTCCCTTACATTTTTTTTATTTCCTCTCTTGTGGAATATGGTAGATTCTTGTGGATCCCTTGTTCATCTATTAAGTCTTTATTTATTTTCAGATTTTCAATAAGTAGTCGAAGTCTTCTCAGTGACACTTCCAAGACATCACACGATATTTTGTGGGAAACACGTTCGCTTTTTCTGTTTAAAATGATGTGTAATGGTACAATGTCTGAGAGCCACACCTTCTGAACTTCTTCTTCTTTTCAGCTGTGAGACTATCACACTGATGTGCTAGAAATGCTGACTGTTCATCATAACATAGTACATGGAACTACTCAAAGAGCTCCCCTTTCAGGACACAATATTTTTCGACATTGCACTCTACTCTGCATTTATAGAATACATTCTGAAATGTACACGTCAAGTTTAATTACATTGATGCTATTATCTTCAGCGAAATCGAACTGTAACACAGTATGCATAAGCTTTGGCGGATACATTGTTTCACGCACCTCGTTTGGACGCTGCAATATTTTTTTTGTTTGCATTCCTAGAGTTTGTATACTCTTTATCGGAATCTCTACACATTTTTCTTACATTGCAATTCCATTTTTTAACATTCTTACTTCTTTTCTGTCCCCCTGGAACTGTCTTTTACAGTGGTCGGTGAAATACTTATGCGCGCATTTCGCGCCATCTTGCCAGCACTTACAAAGTTGTTCCACGTTAGCCAATATTTCAAGTCAGATTGTTCATGCAAAAATAAAATTAACCATTCTAATAAAATGTCAATGGGAGAACGAATTCGTATACAACATTGTTCCATAGAAAACAGGAAATTGAAAAAGGTTTCGCTTACAACGTTGTTCCAGCCGACGCGACAAATGTAAAAGCTTGAGAAGCGTAAAAAGTAACACGTGCACCGTAGGCTTAGGCCTTCCTCTTCTTCCCGTGCTCTTCTTATTGCAAACTGAGAAAGCAATTAATCTGAGCGCTCAGGCTTTCAGGGTCAGTTTTTTATTTGTTCTAATTATTTTTTACTTTGTTTCGTCAGTTAAATCTCAGTCAATTATCAATAAACACAGCCATTGCCAAATTAAATGTTGCCAAACATCATAGAAATAATCTCGGCTCTTCGGCTCACTATAAGCACAACCTTCTGAACGTCATAGAAGAAGAGGAATCGTCAGAACCTTCTGTGAAGAAACAAAACGTTTCTCAGCAAAATGCCATAGAAAGCATCTGTTTATCTGAGGAGAATCCGATGCTGCATTTTTTTATCGCCGAAAATTAGTCACTTGTATTCTAGAGCTATTTTTAGTCTGAGTTTGTTTTCACAAATGCAATGGTATTACGTAATATTTTAAGCACATAATAATAATAATAATAATAATAATAATAATAATTATTATTATTATTATTATTATTATTATATATTAATATTATCATTATTATATTAATTCATAATTGAAAAAAGAAGTGCCGACATTGGAAGGTTTCTATCTCACGGTCGGTGAATGTTCAACAAATAACCTTGTGATAATCAAAGAACGCTTACGAAAGATTAATAATGCCGATAAAAAGATAAGAACACCTATGAAGGAGAATACGATATTCAGTAGGCAAACGCTACTGTAACGTTGATGTAAACGATGTTTTAGAATGGAAAATTCGATTATTCGGATTACTCGATAACTTGAATTTTTTGTCCATCAGTTTTATCCAACAGAACATTCTCGATTTTTGCCTACAAATATATCACAAAATAACTCATAACACGAATTTTCGTTTTTTTATTTTTAATTTTACGAACCGTTCCATCTTTACACATATTATTTCCATAGAAGGTCCTAATAAAGGAGAGACGTCAAACGTCGGACGTTGAAAAAATTTGCATGGGTCCCCTCGGTTACTGAAACTGATAAATTCTAAAAATTCGTTACAATTTTTTGTCCGTCAGATAAAAGATGTTAGATTAAAGAGGTACTGTATACCTATCTATACTTTAATACAATGTGTTATATAGTACTATGTAGATAAATTATGATTCTTGCAACATTGTTACGATATGATAATTGAGCAAGAAGTGCGACTAGATCTATGGCTTGACTTGGTATACTTACTCGCATCTAGTTGCTTATCACTGAAAATTCCTACCTGACGATTATCTCATATGAGCGCAATGCTTTGACGGGCGAAAATGATAAGCCCGACATGAAAACAGGAGGGACGTATTGCGTGTCGTTCTCCGTACTCGTACGGATGACACGCAATACAGATGTACCGGTCCTTTTGTCCTGCTTCAAGAATTTTAATTACTTGTTTATTTTCTTCGGGAGTCGATAAATGATTACTTAATGTAGAAATGTAAGGCAATAATATTTGCGGAAACCAAAAAGTAGCGAGGTGCTTCAATTGGGTTTCTCGCGTCCTAGCCAGCAGAGCGATGACACTGCGCGACCTTTGCCTTCCAATTTGAGAACACTCGGACTCGAAGAGTCTGTTCTACAGAACGTATTAGTGCAGTCCAATGAGGAGCCAAAAGGAGATTATCTCGCAAAAGGTGATGTGGAAGATTTCATTTAATTGGTTTATATTGTTATTATGAAGAAAACTCGTACGTTTTCCACCTCGAAATACTTCGGGACAAGTTTTGTTAGTCAAAATAACAAAAACAGTTCGATCATTTTTTGTTTTAATGGTTGATCGTAGTGCAAAGATAGTTATGTACAATTTTAAAGGTTATAAAATCCTCTAAAATTTGCTTTATAAATTATTGGTCTCAAGAAAATAGTCATAGAGCTCCGAGATTTTAAAATTTCACCAAATTTTCCTTTTTATTCTGAAGTTGCCCAAAATTACTAACGTTCATTCTAATGCAGTGTTTTTACATTCATAACATCATTATAAATATAAAAGAGATTAAATACTTATGTTTTTAATACTCATCGAGGTTCAACTCGCGTTTGCAAATTCTGGTAAATGTGACATTAGGCCTACACGTTCTGGCAACTGACACACATCAAAAGCATTTCAATAGAATAAAATGGTGTTCGTTATTTTATTCGTCTAATTATTATTATTATTATTATTATTATTATTATTATTATTATTATTATTATTATTTTATTACGCGCTGATAGCGCGCGTCGCAGAATTCTTCTTCGTAGGCTCGTGTTATGACAACCGGTTGGGATGCGGACGCCCGAGGCAGCGAGCGACGGCAGGCGGACTTCGAGATATAATAATAATAATAATAATAATAATAATAATAATAATAATAACAATAATAATAACAATAATAATAATAATAATAATAACAATAATAATAACAATAATAATAATTTAATTATAATAAGAAAATGCTAACGTGCAACATGGCGGTGTCTGCTCAGAGAAGGAAAAAC